GTGGGGAATTCCTGTCCTGGAGATGCAAGAGGAAGTGAGGAAAAGGGTAATTTCCCTTTTTAGGCAGTTTTCACTGGAACAAAAGTCCCCAATAACAGTAAAGCTGGCCATACATTGTTAGTTCAGCCCTGCAGGCTAAATGAGAGAAAACTTTAGAGTCCCCCCATCGGCATATTGTATTCTGACAGCATCAGGGGTGCCACCACACAGTACTTCTGCACTGAATGCTGTTCAGTGCAGGATTGAGGACAACCATTGCTGCATAAGTGTAGGGGGACCTGTGTGGGATCATCAGATCAGCCATTGACATAATCAGATCGTCCAGAAGATCCTTTGCCAAAAGGCATTTATGTATATTTTTTACAGGGGGGTATAAAAGACATGTTTCTGCTTTGTGCTCACGGATAAATCGGTATTAATTTTCTGGAAAAGACACAGTGCATTACATTTGTGTTGATTCTTTATTTGAGTTTATTGTTATGGTTACAGGTGAAATGTTACAAGTACTGGCCTGATGATACTGAAGTCTATGGAGATTTTAAAGTGACATGTGTGGAAATGGAGCCACTGGCTGAGTATGTCATCCGTACATTTACGCTTGAAAGGGTAAGAATTTCGAAAGCTTATATTTTTAAAGGGACCCTATTACTACAGGGTCACTTGTACACTAAGTACACCCTGTAAAAGAAGAGCATCTATGCTTACTTTGCCTTTAAATGCCAGCATTTTGCTGCTCCCTGGACGCTGCAGGAATGTCACACTATCTGCCCCCCACTTCCCCACCACAGTGATATTCAAGCCAGCGAGATAAAATACAGCGCACATCAGGAAGAGCAGAATGAGAGACGTCACCAGCACTCATTTAAGGGTCAAAGATTAAAGTGGGTTTTTTTGTGTCGCATAGGTCAGAAAAAGTCAAGCGTTGGTGCCTCACAGAACCTTCCTCAAGGTTCATTTTCATAGTAAAATTTCATAGTAAAATGTTTTTTTTCTGACCTATGTGACATAAATAAAACCACTTTATTCTTCGATGCTGAGCTGAGTGCTTGTGGCGTCTCTCCTACTCTAGTACTGCATAACCCCATCTGTTTCTGTCACTATGAACAACATCTAGCTGCACCAGTGAAAAACAATGCTGTATGGAGTGCAGCGTTACATAAAGGGCAGCTATCAAACACTTGGAAGTATGGAATAGCTGCAGCAGTCGAGAAGTAGGAACCACCAGTATTTGAAGGTATGGGCCACTGGAAGGGAAAGTAGAGATGTTCCTCTTTTACAGACTGTTTTTCACTTACAAGAGAAACTATAGTGTGGAACGATGGACTGCATTTTACCTTATCACTATACAGCACCAAACTATCTTTCAGCTTCTTGCTTCATATACTGTGTGTGTATATGCAGGGGTGTGGAAATTTTTGAAAAAAACTACTTGTCCAAGGACTAAAGCGGGGGCCGAATCTACTTGTCCCTCATGACAATCTGCTTGTCCTGATACAAAAAAAATAATTTTAACCAAAACCATATTTAGTAGTGCTAAGAAGCGCTTCTCATTGGTCAGTGCCGTCAGGTGACCGCGTTGACCAATAAGTGCTTGCTATTTGCGAGCGAAATTCAGAATACATGGAACAGGTACAGATGTATGGGAAGGACCGTTTGCCGAAAGGTAAGTATAGTGGGAGGGAGATTTGTGCGGGTAATTCAATTTTCCCAAATTACTTGGGAAAGTGAACATACCCTTTAGGGGTTGGTGCAGACTTGGAGATTCCCGGGACGTGTGATTGTGTGCGGTTGCATACAGTGGTTGCATCCGCATGTATGGGGTTACATCTGCGTGGCAATCGCTGAAAAAAGGTAGATGTACCCATTTTCACGACCTGCACTGCTCAGTGTTTTCAACCGTGATCGTGTGGGATCGCCTGGGTGGTATTGCAGCAGGAAAACGCGCAATCTGTTTGGCACGACTGGGGTGCCATTAGAAAATAATGGCACTGACAGCACGATCGGCGGACACTGCCCACTCAGTACTGCAATCATCGATCACAGATGCAGACCGTGGAGCTGCTCCCGCAAGTCAGGTAAGTGGTCTGCGACCGTGTGCCTGACATGTCAGATGGCTGCGGGCCACATAGTACCTGCTCGCGGGCCGGAATTGGCCTGCGGACCGGTACTTGAAGACCCAAATTTCCACTCGCCCTCACTTTATTTTTCTTCTCCAAATGC